TCTCCGCGTCGAATCGCGGCCGCTGCTGCGGGCAGGCTGTACAGTCGTGTCTCCAGTCCGAGTAGAAATGAGGTGAATAATTGGGCAAATAGTTCCACAAGAAGACGATATGCCTGGTTTGTGAGGCATGGTCGGTCGGAGCCGACCATCACGGACAGACGTCCAGCCGGCCTGACTTGTTGCGTCGACACCGGCAGGATCTGGCTTGGCAACAGTCATGTCGGCAGGAAGACACAGTTTCACTGGGGCCACGTGGGGGTGCAAGACGCAGAAAGAGTGCCGCTTTTCCGACGAGATTGCGTTTTCACAACAGAACACCACCATAAAGCCAGCCCTGAACGATGTGGCGAGGCGATGTGAAATTTTAGCTCAGAATATATGGCCACATGCACAAAAGCGGACTAACGAAAAGGTGTCCCAAAGTCGACTGGACAGACTAATGCCAAATATAGCTAGACATCCAATTGTGTTGTCAGGGCGACTTATTAGAACGCACCAATACAAAGTCGTCTGCCATAGTTGTTGTCATGATTCCCAGCCTCAGACAGTGGACTTGGTACATTCTCAAAATTTTTCCGGCATCATAGTCGGCTTCATCAGTGAGTTTGGCGGCAGTGGGATAAGAGTGTAAAGAGTAGATAGATAGGCAATGACAGAAAGAGGAGTGATAGTGTAACCGTTTTGGGCAGAACGGTTGTCGAGGCATTGACTTCACTTGTCCCTTTGACGAGTTCGTAGCTTGGTGTGGCGAATGGCAAAACTTACTGATGATGCCGACTATGATTCCGGCGAAACGTTTGAGAATGTACCAAGTCCACTATCTGTGGGAGAGCTAAGTGGATGGATGGTTATATGATCGGATAAAAATAAAGATAAACAAAGAGAGAGAGAGAGAGTAAGTTTACGATACTGACAACCTTCATTCCTTCGCTCACATTTCAACTCCATCCAGATTGTGGCGTACCAGGAAAGTGAAATGTAAAGATTCTTTCTCAGACTTAACTAACAGGCTGGGCACACTTTGTTCAGTCGTTTTGTTGTACGTTGCTTAAGCATTGCGGACATAAGTGAAAGTCGGGTGGAACACGAAGCTGGCAAATGCCGAGAATGATGTCAATTTGGATGGCAGAACATGGATGTACAAGTTGTGATGGTGACAAGTGGAGGGAAGAGAAGTAATTTTCAACAGTTCTACACACTAAAGAGGTACACGAGATTGTGTGTAAGGCAATGATTACTTTATCTATTTCAGTAGTACATTATGAAAGCATCTAGTTTGTAGTATGAAGTTACCCACTTCCTTGGAAAATGGCCTATTTGAATATCGATTGGATAATGTAGCAACAGTAGTGGAGATTCACATATACTTCAT